GAAACAACAAGTTTGACACGATGTTGAACGTTATTCCGTGAAAGATACCACTACTATTGATTATAGCTTGTTTTACCTGTCGAATACAGTGTCACCCTGGACCTTTTCAATGAATAACCAAATTAAATTTTTATCTCAATGTGAATAACGGTCATAGTGGATAGGGGTTGTAACGTCACTCGCATGCAATACAAACACGATATTGTGAAACTAATAGATTTAATACAGTTATGAGCAGAATAGCACGTACAATAAATAATTTACTCCCAAACAATACAATGAATAATAACAATTACATTAACTACCACTACAGCCTTCAAAGTTCCCTACACTAATGAAAGTGTGTGTATAAGATGGTAACTTTATTACCAGTAACAAATGCCATGGTATTTGTAGTCAGCCAGCAGTGCTTTCTATCGATATAAAATCGTAGGTTCCCTTGTCGGACAATCAACACTGTTTAGCGACTATGTATGTTCATACCGCAATTATAGGGTTCCATCATTTGCCTGTAAAGCTCTCATAGTCAGTCTGCTTACAGTATGGCCTTCAGCGCTTCATAAATTGCAGGGAGCGATGATGAACACGACCTGCTCGCACATCGGTTGCCAAGGAACGACTGCTTCTACATGTGCTTCCAATTTTATTGGAGTTTCTCTAGGAAGAGTGCAGGAGTAGAGACAGAGGTTACGTTAACCTTTTATTCCAGTAATCAGGTTAATGACCTTGTTCGCTCAGTTTGGCAATGATTGGGCCAAGTAAGCTATGATGGCATTGTGATTCCCTGATCACAAAGTGTATGTATGCACAAATATTGCAGGGAAGAAATATGACCACGACCTGCTTGCACATCAGTCGCCAAGGAAAGACTGCTTCTACATGTGCTCCCAATTTCACTAGCGTTTCTCATGGGCTTTGTGCTGGCGACTGACCTCCACCTCAAAGGCACTTGTGGACCAGCACCTTAGCATACATTGTGGAGCCGCTCACCACTAGATCAGAGAGCGGGCCATAGCGTTCTGTCGTACAATCAAATTCCGAAATTCGATGCGTTGCTCTAGCTGATGAATAATAATTACACATAATTGCTTGAATTCGCATTTTGATAACGTTTATGAAGTAGCATCGCCACTGACTTACAACTTATAAAGGCCTCGTTTTTGAGCGGTTTCAATTGAGTAATGTCGAGCCTCAACTTGTGATCACTCGCCTTCTATTGACAGCAAACTTCTTGTGACTGTTATTTTCTGCACCAATTCCAATATGTGTATGTGTCATCTTTCACGAGATACATATTAATAGGTTGATTGTATGTAAAAAGCACTTACTAGATATATTCTGCAAGAATGTTTTCTGCACGTCTGCACGAGTTCTTCTGTTTAACTATGCTTGCAATCCTTTGTTTTTGCATATATGAAATCTAGTATAGTAGGATTCCATGAACAACAGCATCATACTGCTATTTATAGCTTACTTCCTTGTAAATTGGGAATTTTGTTACTCACACTATACAAGTGTTTGCATTGTAACACCAAGCCCACGCATTTATTTTAACAGTCAACAGAACAACGTTGATAAGCGAATGTGTATTTAAGGAAAGAACCACCATTGCAGTCACGAATACCACAATATATTGCCCAATTCATGACATAATTGCAACAGCCACACTCGTATTATTATACTAGCTTCATTCTGAACGTAATTTTGGAACACCGACATAAATTTAAAACTTCAGAAAAAACTTACAGTACAGACGTCGATTAGTTCCATATAGGATATACTAATTGTGAAAAAACCACCCACGGCGCGTTGTTGCCAAAGCCATTTCAAGGACTTTGTTCTGGCGACTGACCCCAACCCTTGCGCTGGCGACTGACTCCAACCTCACCTCACGTAATTTTGGAACACCGACATAAATTGAAAGCATCGAAACTGAACTTTAACCCTAACACTACAAAATGATGTGCAAATGTCGTACAGCCCCCAAGACTTGTTACTTTTCCGTGGTAAAATAAAAATGGACCTTTGGGACTAGCATACAGTGACTATAGTCAGCAGTAACGGTCATATATATGTGCAATTGTCAATATTGACATGAATTTAAACAAAATACAGACGACGATTAGTTCTATATAACCGATTTCGTTTAAGGAGGATCGATAAGACGTCCGGGTTCACAAGGGGGCCACGGCGGATGTGGTATGCATATTTCTGAATTTTTTTTTATGCATTTGTTTTGAACTCAAAATACTCAATGGTATAAATGATTATTACAATTGTTATTTATCTATGTTAGTTGGCAGGAATGTTTGCCAATTCTGTGTGTTATTCGCCTTTTCGCGGCACTTATAGCAGTGGCAGGGAAGCTGGTGTATAGTTGCTTCTACCTGGGAGTTATAACCCGCAAGAGCTGTGTATGGTCACATGAAGGATATTACGAACAAAATAATGCTCGGCACATACAGCCCAAACATTTTCCAAAACACTAATCTTGCCTAATTGTGTTAACGGTCTCGCTATGTCTGGTGCCATAGCGCAAACCGGGCAATACCAACACTGCCGATGAAGAAGACGTTTAATCAGCTGCCCTTGTATTCAACCGTTGAATACACTGAAGTCGACTACTTTAATTTGTACGGCATTCTTGAAACATACCAATGTTGTTACATCATAAGACCTATTACCAACTGTTTCGGTTGCAGGGTTGTGTGAGTTGTAATCATCTGAACCGCCATCACGTCCTGTAAGCCTTCTGCTTCTTGCCTTGGCGTATTCCTGCAGTTTCCACTCACGTCGGTCATAACTGCTTGTACATGCAAACGTTTGTCCAAAAATCATTAATAATGTCACTATTTGAACGATGACAGATCCTGTCAGCATATACCACAATAGAGTACGACTCGGTAAGCTTAACACCCATTGGACGATTTTATAGTTTGACTGCTATTGCCTTCGGCTCCAGCATAGTCAATGTTACAAACATGTTTCATTATACAAATTAATCTGAACCAGCTTCTGCAGTACGTATGTGGGGGGCAGTTGGTGACAGAACCAATGTTTGCTTCAGTTATACAGAGAATACTTGTTCGAGCGATTGTCTTTATGGCGCAACCATGTGTGTGTGTGTGTGTGTGTGTGTGTGTGTGTGTGTGTGTGTGTGTGTGTGTGTGTGTGTGTGTGTGTGTGAACGAGAGTGTGGTTAATTTGATTATTAAGTTGCTTTTGTGGTCTATTAACAATAGTTTCACAGATACCAAAACCTGGCATCATTTTAAATATATAGTCATGGATTGGACACAGGAAGTTCATGCTTGCAAATAAGATTTTAATTTACAGTAAAAATAATATAGTATTTCTTTAACATTTCGATCATACATTCAGATGCCGTGCATGTAGAATCAGTCATATTGATCACCCAGAGCGGACTGTACATTTCTTCTTGTACAGGTAGGGGATCGTTCATGCAGCATTGCTTGCCTACCAATGTTTACTCTGACCCTTGAGACACTATAAGGTATGTGACACTGTACCTCCAGACATGATAATCATTTCCACGAAGTGTTTGGCCAAAGACCAACATACCAGTTTGCATGTACGGTGTACAGTTCATTGAGGTGACGCATTCGCTGAACAGCAGGAATGTGTATACATTGTTGATAACAGAATTTTTAATTCAGCCGTGTTAAATCTTAGTCCAATATGTCACCTTGGTTTGTCTGGAATGATAGAATGATAGTTGTTTTCAATTTATACTTCACTGTACACAAACTGTAGAGTGCTACACTTAATGCCTGCCATGCTAACAACGGTTTCATGGATAATAATTATCACAGTACCTTGTGGAAACACTTTCAAATGTGAAAAACGGCTTCTTTTCTAAAATATGTCACCAAACACAAATATACCCTTTCCACCGGAAACAATGATAATGCCCCGAAACATGCTATTTTCACTATATTTTATTGATAGATTCTGCGAACTGGGTACGATGAACCCATATTTTTCACTCGCCGTCTTGAGCGTTGTAACATAATATATACAATAAAATGACAATATTGTATAGCGTTCTACACCGTGTAGCGGATGATTTTTGAGTTTATTAGATCGTAGTCTTCAAACTCTATATATCAAATTTTCTCTACATAATGCATACATTTTAGGCTATAATGGGGTAAAGTAATCCAGATAGTAAACCAAACCTTTGTTTATAATCTATAATCTTGGCTGGGTTTTGACTGTTTAGGCCACACGATATTACTAAATTGGAACCCCGATTGACTAGTTGTACTAAATTGAATCGATCTCGTTGATAAGTGACGTATTCACGCAATTTGACGTGTTATTCATAACCATTGACCACAGTGACACTTTAGTAAGACTTGAAATAAGGTTCACTAAGTTGGAAAAATAGTGGAGACAGGCAAATATTTATTTACTCTTTACTCTTTTGTAACTTCGTAAAACTATTTTTCTTCTACGTAACATCGATGCAAAATCCATTTCTTTATATATGCATAACATTTTGAGAACGATTTGTACATGGTATCGAGAGGTGCGAGGTAATCGTGAATATGGTATGGAGTGTGAACGTTTTCCCTTGGCATCTTAGGTATTGTTTACTTTCCTAGATCAAGACGTACACACAGCTGATCACAGGATGATGATCATCGCGCCAAACATTATTATAATATGCTATTATGAAATGATCACAATTTACTAAACAATTTAAGTAATTTAGAAAACAAATCTGATGAAATATGATGTACAATCATAACTCATTTGATCTTTCAAACTATTGACGATTTATATTTTTTTAGTCAAAAACAGAGGTGATTTATTTATACACCAGTAATTATTTTTTGAAATAAACTAAGTAATCACATTGAAATATGGACAAATATTGTAAATTGCAATGTACACAAAATGAATTATGACTGAACATGAAGTTCTGTAATAATCAAGTCTAATTATTATGGAACAAAAATATAGTTTTGACTCAGCATTGGGATACAAAGTCGTAGTCCATGTAATGTAAATATACATCGATACATGTCTCCGTGTGAGCAAAGCAAATTAAAACAAATTAACGTAAGACATGATATGATGCAAGCAAAATGAACTAGAACAATAATAAGTAAAAAATTGACAAAAATGGTTAACCATGGTGCCAAATCCCTGAGTGGAACTTAAATTGATTGAACGTGTTCTGACTACTCTTATAACACGATAAACTATGGCAATTAATTATGTTTGAACACATTCTAGCATTTTAGAATGATGATCCTTGTGGTTAGAAGTAGGATTGACTAAAGCATTGTTTGTCTTTGTAATTCCGCCCCAATTTACAGTACAAGCAAAAATGTTCACAGTTGTTCGTCAATAAATTATACTCGCCATCTTCAGGCAGGCCTTTATCGAAACACTCTCTAGCTCGGCGCAAAACATCATCCACAGGATCACTGGACTCAGGACAACAGGTTCCACGTCTCTTTAATTTGCAAGCCCACCAGGGATGACCATACCTATTGACGAATTACAGTAATTATAACTCGAAAATAGGTTTAATGTTAATAAAAAAAACACGAAGTTCATTTGTAAAAAATACCGTTCTTCCCAGAGTTTAACAAATGTTAGCCAGATAAGTTAGAATTGTCAAATAGTAAACTACCATACATAGTATACCACGTTACGAGTATACAAATGCAGGATGTATGGCCAAATAAATCTAATGGCGTAATTTTGGAAAACATAAAATAAAATATACCTCCAAACAGCAGTGACCGAACAAAGTATATACCATGAATAGAGTAAATTAGACAATTACATATGATTATTTAAAGACGTGAACTGTTTGCTATGGTTGCTTGTGTCAATGATGTATTTTTATATTCAATATAATGGTAGCTATATTTATGTTCGCTAAAAATGCTGTTTTGAAATTGTTGGAAGTGATAATTCAATTGGTTGCTAGGGATATGCCGAACCATTATACCATTAATGTAAATCTTATCCAACTGGTATAATAAACACTTGTATGCATATTTATGATATCACATGTCTAGTCAATCATGCCCACCTTCTGTTTAGACGAATAGTATTTTATGACTCACTTCCATCATATGATATTCTGCCACTCTGTTTTGGCAAATGATTTTGCAGTTTTTAAAAAGAAGATCCTATCAGTTCAGGAAAAGTTTGAACCCTTCCCCCACAAACATAGGGATCATTCAATAATCTCCTACAGTCAGGCCAATCAAGCCAATTATCTTTAAAACATTGTGAGAATGTTGTGGTTTACATATTCAAATCTTGTACGTCTTTTACCAGCCACGTAAGTTGTACAGTATCCACGATATGACGGTTACAAATATTCCGTCACTTTGAGAAATTAGTAGTGCAGTGATTGGTGCAGTCAGTACTGAAGGGACCCTGTGCCTTGTCAGTAGTGTACTATCTGGAATACAGAGATAGGTGCAGTCAGTAGATTAAAGATTATTAAAGTCAATTGTGCAGGCGCTGCGTGAGTAGTGCAGGGATTGCTGGAGTCAGAAGTGCAGTAATTTGATGCAGGTAGTAGTGCAAGATTGTCGCATGGGGAAGGGATTGATGCAGTCAGTAATGCGGGAATCGGCGCAGTTTTTAGTGCAGGAATTGTATATCTGTATATGGAATAACGTTTGAACATGTGTCTTGGCAAGATATATTGAACGAAAGCCTGATACTAGTGACTGCCTAGATTTGTCGTAAATGCAAATGTGTTACACTGCAAGTGCTGAGAATATATATTCAATGTGTAATAGTAACAGAAAATCTTGGCTCAGCCAAAGCTTCTAATCCACCCTCGCCAGACAGGGTTCGTTTATTTGACTATCGCCCTAGCCCTCGTGTATTAAAATACTAATCTTAGCATCAAGGCAGACAAAATTGATGATCCCACAGTAGTGGGGTTTTATGAATTTCTGTCATGATGTGATCATGGATTATTAACCGTCACATGTTTCTAAACATAGCTACTTTATTTGTGGCACGTTACTGATTTAGAAGTCTAAAATGTGAAAAGATATGAGTTGAGTTAAAACAACGATATCGACACAATGCACACACCGACACATGGTTAACCGTCTGAGCATCTCAAAACAATATCATGCATTGAAATAACAATAATAATAATAACAACAATAATAATAGTAATGTCCGACAAGTTTGCTGTAAATAATAAGCGATTCCCTGGCTAGTGACAAACGGTGGCCGATAATGCGGGTCGTATTCCAATATGGGTCAATATTGGGTATTCTTTTTTACAAACCTATATAATCGTATAGCTCCAATGCCGTTTTGTTTAAATTCCTCAAGAGATGTCATTTTAATCTGGCTGTACTCTTTGATTTCCTCCCATCTCCATCAAAATGTATGATTTGCCAAACACCATTTTTTTCCTCAACTACAATCCCTGAAATAAGCAAATTATACACATTACAATTGTTATTAACATAATTTCCGTGTAGTAATTTACGGTCGTGACCGTAATATGTAATATACACTGGTTTAAAGTAGTTGTCTATGGCGTAGTACTTGCCATAGGTTAACAGTGTCATGTCATGAAAACTCGACTTTCAATCGTGCAATGTAAGCACTGTATAATGTGTTCTTATGCTCGATGTGGCCCTTTTTTTTGTAGTATTCATTAAACGTACTGTATTTGGACGACAGTTCCAGTGAATCGGTTCAAGAAATATACAAAACAAGGGTACCATTCTACTATCTATCGTTCAACAAATAAACGCATATAAAAATAAATAAAAGATATAAGTTGTTTAAAAACAATGTACCGTGATGAGAGTATATGGTCATTGTCTTCCATATATATATATGATCTCCTGGATTCAAATCACACTCGTCAACATGATGGAACAGAGGCATTGTCAGGTGTCTCAGCAGTTAAAGACTGTGAAAGAAAACTGCAAAGATATACTTATCAAAACTGACATCCTGTAGGTATTACGTTTCTTTGATTTACAGTACAGCAAGCACACTGCACTCGTATTTAATTTTCACATTCACCATCAGGATTGTTTATGTGGGTTTTATACAAAATACTGAAAAAAGATTCAGGATATCATTGCTATCGTAGTTTGTCGTCGGATATATCAATGAGTCAAATGTAATAACGGTTATTGGATGCAAATCCTGGAAATCAGTATTCATAGCTATATGCTGACTAAAAAAGGAAAGGGGTTTAAAGAACCTTAACGATGAGCAAGCCACTCGCCACTACTAATATAGAGGCTTTCGGGTCCCATATTAAGCAATATCAGAGAGACAATCATCTGGCCCTGAACAATGAAACTACAATCTTATGGTAGAGTTCATCTCCACACACTTTATAACATCACAAGCATCCTCCAGCTTCAACACCACTATCTCCGCCAGACAAGGAGGCAAAAAATATGGGATCATTGGTTTAAATGTCTCTAGGCTCTGGAAGTTTGCTCACAAAAACAGATGTCTTACTGAGATGGACATTGATTATCACTTTTGGAGGCCTGCCCCATCCAAAGCCCGGTAAACTCATTACAACCACATTTGCATCGAAGACC